AGAGCTCATTGCTTAATGAACAATGGGTTATTGATGAAGCAAAGAGGAAATTAAAAAGTTCCTGGAAGTCAATGAAAATGAAAACACAACTTACCAGAACCTATGGGACACAGCAAAGGCAGACCTGAGAGAAAAGTTTATAGCCATGAGTGCATATATTAAAAAGCCTGAGAGACCTCAAATCAATGACCTAATGATACATCTCAAACTCCTAGAAAAAGAAGAACAAGCAAATCTCCAACAATAGAAGGAGAGAAATAAGAAAAATAAGAGCTAAAATCAGTGAAATAGAAACCAAAAAAACCATACCAAGAATTAACAAAACAAAAAGTTGGTTCTTTGAAAAAATAAACAAGATCAATAGACCCTTAGAAAACCTAACTAAAATGAGGAGGGAAAAAACCCAAATAAGTAGAATCAGAAATGCAAAAGGGGAGATAACAACAAACACCATGGAAGTCCAGGAAATCATCAGAGACTACTTTGAGAACCTATTATTCAAATAAATTAAAAATCTTAAAGAAATGGACAGATTTCTAGATACATATGATCATCCAAACTGAACCAAGAGGATATTAATCACCTGAATAGATCTATAACACAAAATGAAATTGAAGCAGCAATCAAGAGTCTCCCAAAAAGAAAAGTCCAGGACCTGATGGATTCTCTGCTGTTCTATCAGACCTTTAAAGAAGAACTGATACCAACCCTCCTTAAACTGTTCCATGAAATAGAAAGGGAAGGAAAACTGCCTAACACATTTTAGAAGCCAGTATTACACTTATCCCAAAACCAGGCAAAGACACCTCCAAAAGGAGAACTATAGGCCAATCTCCTTAATGAACATTGATGCAAAATCCTCAACAAAATAATGGCAAACCGAATTCAACAACACATCAAAAAGATCATTCACCACGACCAAGTAGGCTTCATCCCAGGGATGCAGGGGTGGTTCAACATACGAAAATCAATAAACGTAATAAACCACATTAACAGAAGCAAAGACAAAAACCACTTGATCATCTCAATAGATGCAGAAAAAGCCTTTGATAAGATCCAACACCATTTCATGATAAAAGCTCTAAGAAAACTAGGAATAGAAGGAAAGTACCTCAACATTATAAAAGCTATATATGACAAACCTACAGCCAGCATTATACTTAATGGAGAAAAACTGAAACCATTCCCTCTAAAATCAGGAACTAGACAAGGATGCCCACTATCTCCACTCCTATTCAACATAGTACTGGAATTCCTAGCCAGAGCAATTAGGCAAGAAGAAGGAATAAAAGGAATACAAATAGGTAAAGAAACTGTCAAAATATCCCTATTTGCAGATGACATGATCCTATACCTTAAAGACCCAAAAAACTCTACTCAGAAGCTCTAGACACATCAATAGCTATAGCAAGGTAGCAGGATATAAAATCAACATAGAAAAATCATTAGCATTTCTATACACTAATAATGAACAAACTGAGAAAGAATATATGAAAACAATTCCATTTACAATAGCCTCAAAAAAATCAAATACCTAGGTGTAAACCTAACAAAGGATGTGAACGACCTCTACAAGGAAAACTATAAACTTCTGAAGAAAGAGATTGAGGAAGACTATAGAAAGTGGAGAGATCTCCCATGCTCATGGATTGGTAGAATCAACATAGTAAAAATGTCTATACTCCCAAAAGTAATCTACATGTTTAATGCAATTCCCATCAAAATCCAATGACATTCATTAAAGAGATTGAAAAATCTACTTAAATTTATATGGAAACACAAGAGGCCACGAATAGCCAAGGCAATACTCAGTCAAAAGAACAATGCTGGAGGTATCACAATACCTGACTTCAAACTATATTACAAAGCAATAACAATAAAAACAGCATGGTACTGGCACAAAAACAGACATGAAGACCAGTGGAACAGAATAGAGGACCCAGATATGAAGCCACACAACTATAACCAACTTGTCTTTGACAAAGGACTAAAAATAATGATGGAGAAAAGCAGCCTCTTCAACAAAAACTGCTGGGAAAACTGGTTAGCAGTCTGCAAAAAACTGAAACTAGATCCATGTATATCTATACCAATATTAACTCAAAATGGATCAAGGATCTCAATATCAGACCCAAACTCTAAAGTTGGTACAGGAAAGAGTAGGAAATACTCTGGAGTTAGTAGGTATAGGTAAGAACTTTCTCAATGGAACCCCAGCAGCACAGCAACTAAGAGATAGCATAGATAAATGGGACTTCATAAAACTAAAAAGCTTCTGCTCAAAAAAGAAATGGTCTCTAAACTGAGCACCCACAGAGTGGGAGAAAATATTTGCCAGCTACACATCAGACAAAGGACTGATAACCAGAATATATAGGGAACTTAAAAAACTAAATTCTCCCAAAATTAATGAACCAATAAAGAAATGGGCAAGTGAACTAAACAGAACTTTCTCAAAAGAAGAAATTCAAATGGCCAAAAAACACATGAAAAAATGCTCACCATCTCTAGCAATAAAGGAAATGCAAATTAAAACCACACTAAGATTCCACCTCACCCCTGTTAGAAAAGCCATCATTAGCAACAGGTGTTGGCGAGGATGCGGGGAAAGAGGAACCCTCTTACACTGTTGGTGGGAATGTAGACTAGTACAACCACTCTGGAAAAAAATTTGGAGGCTACTTAAAAAGCTAAACATTGATCTACCATTTGATCCAGCAATACCACTCTTGGGGATATACCCAAAAGACTGTGACACAGGTTACTCCAGAGGCACCTGCACACCCATGTTTATTGCAGCACTATTCACAATAGCCAAGTTATGGAAACAGCCAAGATGCCCCACCACTGACGAATGGATTAAGAAAATGTGGTATCTATACACAATGGAATTTTATGCAGCCATGAAGAAGAACGAAATGTTATCATTCGCTGGTAAATGGATGGAATTGGAGAACATCATTCTGAGTGAGGTTAGCCTGGTCCAAAAGACCAAAAATCGTATGTTCTCCCTCATATGCAGACATTAGATCAAGGGCAAACACAACAAGGGAACTGGACTTTGATCACATGATAAAGCGAGAGCACATAAGGGAGGTATGAGGATAGGTAAGACATCTAAAAAACTAGATAGCATTTGTTGTCCTCAATGCAGAGAAACTAAAGCAGATACTTTAAAGCAACTGAGGCCAATAGGAGAAGGGGACCAGGAATTAGAGAAAAGGTTAGTTCGAGAAGAATACTAGAAAGTAACACACATGTACCAGGATATCAATGCGAGCCAACTTCCTGTATAGCTATCCTTATCTCAACCAGCAAAAACCCTTGGTCCTTCCTATTATTGCTTATACTCTCTCTTCAACAAAATTAGAGATAAGGGCAGAATAGTTTCTGCCTGGTAAGGAAGGGGTGGGGGGGAGAAGGAGGAGGTGGAGGAATAGGGTGGGGGAAGGAGGGAGGAATGACCTAAACATTGTATGCACATGTGAATAAAAGAAACTTAAAAGAAAGAAATATGCTGCTTTATGGAAAAGAAATATATTTTTCTTTAGATGATAAAATGAGTTCCATCTCATCAATGTGAAGAAATACAGAATTAAATTTTCAATTCTCATGGTATATAACCTACAACTAGAATTACATGAAGTACTTTTGAAAGAGCTTACTTTTTCAAACCATTTTCAGAAAATGAAAAAAAAAAAGAAAGAAATGAAGCATAAGAAAGGAGTGGCAGAACATGCTTGTAATCCCAGCTCTTAGGAAGCTGAGCCAGTAGGATTGCAAGTTTGTGGACAGCTCTGAATTACCAAGTGAGACCCTTCTCAAGAAAAACAAGCAAATTAAATGAACCATGGAGGATTATGCAGTTACTGGTTTTTAATGTTGAATTGAGTCAGTGTTTCAAACTAGTGTATTTGGTTTTCATTCTGAAACTAATGACTTAAAAAACTGTAGTTAAAAATCACAAAATATAAAATTACCATCTTCATAATTTTTTCATGTGTAGTTTAGCAGTGTTAAGTACATCTGTTGTGTTAAGTATCTCCAGAACTTTTTGTCTTACATACCTAAACCTCTTTACCCATTGAACAGCAGCTAGCCATCGCTCCCATTGGCAAGTCCCAGGAAAATATTATTTACTCTGTTATCTATTTCTATGGCTTTGACTATTTTAGAAAGCTCATGTAAGTGGAGTGGTATAGTGGTTGTTCTTTTGTGAGTGGCTTATTTCACTTAGGTTAGTGACCTTGAAGTTTAGGGAAATTTTGAAGTCTGAGACAGGATTTCCTTCTGTTTTAAAGCCAAATAATACCTTATTGTATGTGTATACCACATTTTGCTTTGCATATTTATTCATCTGCTGATGAACAATTCCACCTCTAATGGGTTGTGAACACAGACGTGTAAACTTTTTTGAGACTCTACTTTCTATTCTTTTTTTTAAAGGTTTAAATTAGCTAAGAAATTTAAACTGATAAACAAACACATATTGTGCACATTTATGTGTGGTTTGGATTCATGTATGCATTGCATAATGTTTAAATCAGGGTAAGAATTTATTTCCCCAAATATTTATTATTTTTTTTATAAGAACATTCAAAATACTTTCTTCCAGATTTTTCAAAGACACAGTATTACTCCCTATATATGTACAAATATATAGCCTACTGTGCAAATAGTATTGATATAAATTTAGAAGTAAGATTGCTAGGTCTTATGATGCAAATAGTTTTTTTCTTTTTTGAAGAACTGCCACATTATTTTCCACAGTGGCTGCATCATTTTACATTCCCACAAATTCTGCTAAATTAGAATCTACACTTTTAACCACAACACTATATTACTTCCTTGCCATAAACTTATTATAAGTTGACCTTAGATTGGTCCTAATTTCTAGTGTTATATCTCCATGGGACAAAACGCAACTTGGAAATGTCTCCTCTTTTAGGTTGCAACTTTGTTTTCCATGAAACTTCAAGTCTAGGTCTTTCCAAACTTACCCTTACAGTAAGAGAGTTGCCTGTAATTTTGGTGGTGTTGATGGAAAACTGCACGAGCCCATGCTCATCCGTGGTAGCATTTGACTGATAGTCAGCTTCATTTGCTGTGATGAAGATGAGCTGATTTGGCATGGGGACACCTTTCCCATCCTGTAGGCGCACCTGAAGGTTAAAAACTGTGGGTCAGTTCTAGGAATATGAACTACATGAAACCCATTCATTTTTAACACAAATATCTTTTAAGTAACTTCTATATGTTGCATACATTTCTAGGCACCGAAATATACTAGTGAACAGGAAAAGGTTCATCCATCACAGAGTTTACAGTCTAGTAAAAGAAACAGATGCTAAATAAACATAAATAATACACTTATTTAGTATTAATCAATCCAAAGGGAATAGAGTAAAGTAGTGTGAAGGAATAGAGTAAAGTAGTGTGAAGGGATAGAGAGTGACAGGGATTATAATAAGGGTGACTTGAAAAATATATTCTGGATATTTTGGAAATACTGGGTATTACGTCAATACACAAATTGTGCATTATTTATGGAATAAATAGTGTGAAATTTCAATACAGGTATGCAGGGTGTAAGGATCAGGTTGATGTGATTGGCATATCTATTACCTCAGATATTAGTCATTTCTTTTGTTTAGGAACATCTAAAATCCTCTCCACCATAAGCTACTTTTGGTAGCAGGAAGCAATGCAGCATGACTGTAGTTTTTATAATTGACTAACAAAATCTAAGTCTGCAAGTGAAATGTCAATTACATTTATAAGCACAAAAATAGGCACAAACTCCAATTCTTTGTCTTTAAAAATAATCACAATGAAAAGATTTTTTATAGGTCTGTGAGAAAATTCATAATTTTGAAATCTGGGAACCTTAAATACTATTTTATTCCTATGTTTACATTTTTAAAGATATACTTGTTATTATAGAAAATTAATATAAATATATCATATTTATGAAAGAAATCCTAGGTAGAGTATTTAATACTTCAAATTCAAGAGTAAAATCATCTACTCATCCATTTCCATACAAAGTTAGTGTGAGTAGCATAATTTAGCTAGTCACCACGAATATTGATATTCTCATGAGAAAATGTCATAAAAATCTGAGGTTTCCAGGTAAACCTGAAAAAAAGATCAGGCGGTGTCATACAATGCTGTTCTAAAAGTGAAAAAAAGAAGCCTTGCTAATTTTGATAGGGCTGTAGAATGATTTTATAAATTTCATGTGCAAATTGAAGATTAATAGATCTATTTAATGTGGTTTTACATTTTTGGTTGTATTAATCAACATTTGTTTGTTTTCTTCCTTTGATTACATTAATTGATAACGTTAACCAGGTACACATTTTAGCAGAAATTGTATAAATGATGTGAATTATGTAACAGTATGTGATTTGACTAGAGAATTGCAAATTACCGCACCTGCCCCGAAAAGGGGATCCCATGTCTAAAGTTTGAGTCGACTTTCACAAATGAGAGTTTGGTTATGGTTCTTGTGATTTCAGTGGATGCTCTTCCAGTTTCTTCCACATCTGAAAAAAAGAAGAAAAGATAAGTTCGTTTTTGGGAGGATGATGTCTCTAAACTTCTTATACTCCCCCCTTCACAATTCGTAATTTGGATAGGGCAATAGATAACATCCACCGCTTTTCCTCCCAGGCCCATGTGGTACACAGACCTGTCCCTTCTTCTTGGATCTTGGCCTCTGCTTTGAGTCGCATTTCATACTCTTGCCTCTTCAGCTGGAAGGATTTGGTTTTCACTTGCTGAGAGAAACAGCCCTGGCTATTCAGCTAAGAGGAGAGAAAACAAAACACAGAAACATAATGGAATCATACTGGACGATCAGGGGTTAGTTCATTTGCTAGCATTTTTTGGGACAACATAATCTAGGTATTTTCTATGAGGTGACATAATGTAGACTGTCTAGGGACTGATTATTATAACATTTCATGACAATCTCTTGCATATAACCGACAGGTATAATTCCTTGGTATCTGAAATTCCATGGAAAGAATAATTCAGAAATGCCTTAAAGTCTGGGAGGCAGACTACTGACGAATGGATTAAGAAAATGTGGTATTTATGCACAATGGAATTTTACTCAGCCATGAAGAATAATGAAATCTTATCATTCACAAGTAAATGGATGGAACTGGAGAACATCATTCTGAGCGAGGTTAGCCAGGCTCAGAAGACCAAAAATCATATGTTCTCCCTCATATGCGGACTTTAGATCTAGGGCAAATGCTGCAATGTGGTTGGACTTGGATCACATGACAAGGGGAGAGCACATAGGGGAGATATGGGAACAGGTAGAAAACCCAAAACATGAAAGAGTTTGATGTCCCCACTCCAGAGGAACTAATACAGAAGTGACAGAGATAAACTTGAGAAGGGGATCAGGAACCAGTGTAAAGATCAGTTAGAGATGAATCAACTTGGGTTGTAACACATTTGTACATGGAAGCAATGCTAGGAATCTCTCTGTATAGCTATCCTTAACTCCACTAGCAAAAATACTTTGTTTTCCTTATTATTTTCCTTATTCTCTTCAACAAAATTAGAGATAAGGGCAGAACAGGTTCTGCCTAGAAGTGAGGGGGGTGAGGGGAGAGAGAGGGGGAGGTGGGTGGGGGGAGAAATGGCCCAAACAATGTATGTACATACGAATAAATGAATAAAAAAAATTGGGAAGGCAGGATAACCTTACTATAGCAGATAGCTAAATCTTCCCCAAGCTCTAGGTCTCCTCCCATAGCAGACCGTTTTGACTGGGAATTGGCTGTTTATGTGAGAACTTTCCCACCATCTCCTTGGCACCTGGACAGGGGACTGTGACAGGTTTCTGCTCATAAAGAGCAGAACTGACTCCCTTACCAGCCAAGGCGATAAAAAAAAGATATGTTTCTTCTTCCTCCATAGAAGTAAGGAGGTAAAGAATCTTTGGATGGCTTAACTTCTATTCTGGAACACTTGTGGTTGGCAATTACAAGAAATAAATAACCGCTATTGGGCTAAGTCACTAATTTTTTTTTGAAAATTACAACAAATAGCATGGAATTATCTTCCAGATTGCTCTTTTCCTCAGCTCCATGCTGCAGCTCACTGCTTATCCACAATACCTTTACTATTGGTCCCAGAAGACACAGCTCTAAAACTTACCTTTTGACTGAATCTCATGCAGAATGCCTCCGATTCTTCACCAAAGCAATGGGAAGGCTCATTATACTTCCTGCAAATCCTCATGGTCATATGTCCTGGGACAGGCTTCCCGTATGTATATCTGTCACGAGAACCGTGCCAAATGAATCACAGCCAACACCGAACACCCCTCTCTACCTCTACACTTCTCCTTCCGCTGCTACACATTCACCCTCCAAACTTCTCTCTGCAGAGCTCATAGCACGTTGAGGGGAAGCACACGACACTTCTATTTTATAAAACTAACCTTCCTTCCTTTTGGCAGCACTGGGACTTGAACTCAGGGCCTCACACTTGCTAAGCAAACGCTCTACAACTTTACCTACACCCACAGCCCCTTTTTTCTTTACTTACTTTTCAGATAGGGTCTTGTACTTTTTTGCCCAGGCCAACGTGGGACTGAGGTCCCCTTGTCTATGCCCCCACAGGCGCACACCACTACACCAGGCTTATTGACTGAAATGTGATTGTACTAATTTTTTGTCTGGGCTGATCGTGAACCATGATTCTCCAGATCTCTGCCTCCTAAATAGCTAGGATTACAGGTGTGAGCCACTGCACATGGCTTCATTTTAATTTCAGTATCATCTTAATAATGCCTTTTTTGTTACAAAAGCCAAACACACTCAAGAGAAAAGCAATACCATTAAAAATAAAATAAACAGCAACAACAACAAAAATATAGAAAAACAAACACTCTAAAAATTGCCTGGGAATTCAAACTATTAATGTGATGGTTGATGGTTTCTCCTCAATATAAATCTCTACTTATATTGAGTTTTGCTTTCTTTTTATTTATTTTATTTTTGGGGGTGGTACTAGAATTTGAGCTCAGGGCTTTGCTCTAGTTAGCAGATACTCTATCACTTGAGCCATATCTCCAGTCCTTTTTGATCTGGTTATTTTGGAGATGAGGGTCTCACTTTTTGCCCAGGCTGGCCTGGAACTGAGATCCTCCTAATTTCAGCCTCCGAGGTAGACAGGATTTCAGGTATGAGCCACTGGTCCCTGGCTACTTTTGTTTACTTTCTATAAAAGTCAGTTTGTGCTATAAGTATGGAGTAGGTGATTGCTGTATTTTCAAGGGCATTTGTTTCCTTCCTTATTTGGAATGTTCTCAATATCTTTATTTGCAAGAATGTTTGCTCACCAAGTATAGGGGGCTGAAACCTTGGTGGCCATTACTCTGAAACAGAACTGGGTCAGGTCCCAGCTGAGTAAACACACATTACCTATGTGGTCTTCATGCAGGTCTGGCTTTTTTGCTTTGCTTGTTCTTTCTGCTACTGCTACTGCTACTGAAGGGCTACTGAGGATGGGGTCCAAGATCTTGGAAACATGAAAGTTTAAAGAGCTCATTCTGAGAGGCCATGTTCAGTTTCCTGAGTAAAAAGGCAACGCAGGGAGGTATGTGCCATGTCTAACATAGACTGCTGAGTTCAATGAGATTTTGGATATATGCTAGACCCTGCAAACTTCAAATCTAAGCTCTTTTCCCACTGTATTTTCAAGATCAGGTAAGTGATATGCTGATGACTGATTTCCTCTATAACCATATATTAATTAATCTCCTTAGTAACAAAATGTTTTGATATTTCTGGTTAAGGGAAAGTCACTATGCATCAGCAATATTCCATTGTGTTTGCATATGTGTGTGTGCGTGAGTATGCAATGTGTGAGTGTAAACACCTGTGTGCATATGTGTGTTAGTGTGTGCACATGTGAGTGCACACACGTGAACGCACATGTATGCACATGTGAGTGTGCACGTGTGTGGGTTTGTGTGCATGTGTGTGCTTTATTGCATGTGTGTGATCATGTATGTGTGCATGTGTATGGTCTCTGTACAGCTTTGTCACTTTCAGAACCAATCCTAGTAGCATAACCTCTCTTTAAATATTATACCCCATGATAGTTATAGTAATGCTGATAAATACATGAAAGAAAATGAAAAGGAGAAAATAAAAAGCAAAAGGAGAATAACATTATATAGTTGGAGATGTTCCCAAAGTTCTAAAAGTGTTCTTGTCACTGCTTTTAGAAAAATTAGTCAAAATATCACAAAGCTGAATCTTGTTAAATCATTACCCTCAAAATACTGAAAAATCAACTCACAGGCCACACACTGACACATTCATCACTTCTTCCAAGATAGTGATTGTCTTTGGCATTGTCACTTGTACTTCGAACTTGGGAAGCACTGTTGATTAGTAATAAAGAAGGTTAGTGATTGAAAACTTAGGGTACTAATATTCTCAAGATCTCTGCTACAATTCTCTAATGATATCCTGGGGCTTTGAAAAACTCTTTTCTACAATATATTTGTGTTTACCTTACTATCAAATAGAGATTTTGGTTGATGGACTATGACAGAACACTGTAATTTAATGGATCATAAAAGATTCCACTAAAACTAGGACGTTTTATTTTGAGTATTAAATATTGTTACAAAATAACCAAGCTATGTGAAATCCTGTTCTCAAATCATTGATGTCTTCATCAGACTTAGACATAATTAGTTCTACTCCAAGCCCAATATTGCCCATGGGAAATTGAAGGACTCCAAATGAGTTCACATTTAGATGTTTAAACATGAAAGAAAATATTGCATGATATTCCATGGTACATACCAAATTCCTCCACAGTGAACTGGTGATTTTTTTCACCTGATTCTGTCCGTACCACTACCAAGTAGGTCCCCTGAAGGGGCTCAGATGAGAGCGGGAAGGACAGTTGCTTGAGGCCACTTTCCAACTTGAGACTCTGCCATTGTGCAATGCGATTTCCTTTGGGATCCTGTGGATAAGTTAATGGTCATTTATAAAGGTTCCCAGAACATCAGAGACAATAAAAGATATCAATGGAAACGTCTACATTATCCACAAGGAGAACAAATGGGGTGATGGTGACAGGTAAGGAGGGGAGATGAGTTATAAACATCCATTCCTAGGTGAGTTTGGAGGCTTCTCCCTTGATAACAAGTTTCTGTGATATTGTATGTTTAAATAAGAACATTTTTCCTGACATTATTACTTTCCTTCTAATTACTGAGTGCTTCATGTTGCTTACCTGAATGTATACTAGTGTCATCTGAAAGACAAAAAGAAAAGAATTTTATATTTTTCTCAAATATTTACAATTCTAATTTATGTGGAATAACTCCATACATATGTAGAATAACCATACAATAAAAGATTCCAGATTCAATTTTATAGAACTTTAAATTAGTTCACTTAATGCAATTAATTGATGAAGTATATTAATAGATGAGGCCATCAGCAACAACATGTATGTGTACTGCTGTTAGGAATGGGAATTACTAACACTAAGTGCTTACAGAATGCCAGTAAAGAACACTCTTTTGGTAGGCAATTTTATAGACTGAGAAATAAAAACATGAACTGGAAGAAACCATGCTTGGCTCCAATAATTAATGTAGATCACAGCATTATTAGGTAGTTCTAAGAATGAATAGGAATGGGACTAGCTCTTCTGTTAACAATAGTCACTTTTTAAAATTAATAGATATTATATACCTACTCGTGTGATGTGCGTCATTCTATGTGCTAAGAATATAGGAACACATAAAAGAATAATATCTATGCTCATGGAAACTACATTCTAATAGGGATGGATAGAAAAGGACCCAAGAGTGTGTGCACACGTGTGTTAAATGCTAAGAAGAAAAGCAAATCAGGTTAAAATGATAGAATGATAAATATAGTGTTTGATTTTAAATAAGAGAGTGAAATAGAAGCTGGGGTCCAGTTTCAAAGTTATTGCAGTGATTTTGTTTAGAGGTGGTTTTGGCAATTCAGATACTAAGAAGTGTACTGGGTACATTACAAGACAACATGGTTTTCTGGTAAAGTGGATATGGATGTGAGATAAAAAGAAGCAAGGATTATGTCATCATCTTTTGTCTTAGAAGCTAGAAGAGAAAAATTGCCTTTTTTGAGATAAGAAAATCATTGTGCAATAGATTTGGGAGAGAAATTGAAGACTTGGTTTGAGGTCTGCATTATAATAAAAGAGTATGTCTTTTCACAGATATCAAGGGTTAACTTTTGTTTGTTGTGTTGGCATTTACAAAAGTTCTTATAATATATCAAATACAGCATACTTGAATTCACCTCCTCCACCATTCTCTTTTATCCCTCCTACCCAAGGGTTAGTCTTGAACAAATTCATAACAGAGTCTTTGGTAAGTGTGTTAGGAAAAGTTTAGGTCTCTGAGAAATTATTTGAAATTAGGTTCTTTGATACTTTTTAGTGTCTATTATTGAATTTATTTTCCTAATTAGAAACTGAAGAGTAAGTTTAATTGTGTGACAACTGAGTAAGTAGCATACCAAGATGAAAAGAGTTTCTTACTCTTCTGACTTGATATCATGTTCCTCCACACTCCCAATAGTGGGGTTTGAACTCAGGGCCTTGCACTTGCTAGGCAAGTGTTCTACCCTCGACACCTAGTCTTTTTGCTTTTTAGTTTGTTTTTCAGGTAAGGTCTCCTGCTAACATTTCAAACCACAATTGTCCTGTCTCCCCTCCAGTGTACCTGGGATTATAAGCATGAGCCACTACCTGATCCTGGCCTGGGATAATGATTTAAATGACGCTCCTGTGCTATTGTGATGTCAGAAATTCCTGTTAGTGATATTAGATTTTTCCTCTCTTTGGTCCTCCCCTCAAAACCCCAAAGAGGTTCCCAGTCAGCTTATACAAACAATAATGATTTTATGTGAACAATAGGAGACTTACCAATTCATTCAGAGGGTGAAAACTTTCATCCACTGAGACAATGCGAAATTTCACTGAAACACAAATGATTTTCATAAGCTCCAAAACCTTTGACCAGGCTTATAGGATGGTAAAGCAAACTATTAAGGAACCAGTATTATAGGGACTTTGGGGAATATTTAAGGCCAGAAGATCTTTTCTTTATGATTGTTGTCCTGACTAAAACTATGTCATCATACCTATCTGCCCTGGTTTGTAGATGGGTTTGTCCGTCTGGACAAAGATTAGACTCTGTTTCTTCTGGATCATCACTGTGCTTCTCTTCCTGAATTCTTGAGTTGCTCCTTTCACTTGTACAGTGAGGAACATTACTTCATTGGATGAAGTCTGTGGGACCTGAAATACAGAAGAGAACCCAACAGCCCGTTTAGTCTCTCAAGTCTCCTTCCTCATTTCTTATTTCACTCCTTTCTGGAGGTCTAGCTCCCCCCACCCCCACTTTTTAAAATTTCTCCTACTTGTTCTCATCTGGGAAAGTTGGCATAAACAAGAATTACTTCAGCCATTTTACAAATGGTGGAGAAAAACACATTAGTAAGAGAGGTTGTAACTGAGAGTCACATCTTTATTCATAGAGGTCTCACACAATACAGTCTTAATTCACTTACACGGTTTTACTAAGTTGATGCTGTATCCTAAAATGGCACGGAAGAAGCATGACTTGAGGTTATGAAAAAACTACGTTATTGACACTAGGCTGGACGTATCCCTCATATAGGCAACTCTAAACAGATTCTGGATATTTGCTCAGGGTAATTTCTATAAGTTTTATTCTTAGAAAGAGTATGAGGGTCTTGTCAGTTCACCCTGGTGGCTCATGCTTAGCCTGACCAAGTTTGTTTTATACATGTTTTTTCCACTGTAATTGTAAGGAGAAGTCACACTTTTCTTTGTCTAATGCATGCTGTTTTTTTCAGACTAATGGAATTTTTCTTTTATCATTAAATGATTTTTCAATATGCCTATAAATCTGTATCTCTTATAGTTGGAAATTAATGCATTGCACCTTAATTCCTACACTTGGTTACTCCATTTGATAACTTCTTGAAGTTTTTACCAGCATCTCAGAGCCTTGTCTTAACAATTCTAGAACCTTAGACCCTGACTAATAGAACTGAGTTTATTAAGGCAAACAGCCACACTCACAGTGAAGGAGATGCACTGGAATAAGTCCTTTTCCACCACCAAGTCGGTGAAGAGGCTCCTGTTTTCCCTGAGAGACTCCAAAGAAGCACTTACAGTCACTGTCTCATTCAGGTGGTTCAGAAGGAGGCAGCCCTTCTCAGGGGTCCCAGAGTGGAGCAGGGAGGGGACCAATACCATATAATGTCTGGGTACAAGAGAGTCCAGTTAGAGAAGAGTGAAGGACAGTTACTGGTACAATCATCAGTTCAATACCAAGAGGAGACATTGATGAGCATGAAACTCTGCTGTCAAATGGCAGGCATACAAATTATTTCCTCTTTCCATTACACGCCAGGGTGTGAACATTTTACTAGAGGTAGGCCTTAAGGTGACCAAACTTTGTAAGCATACTTCACTTTAAGGAACACCAATATGAGATCATCTGAATTTGAATAAAAATATCTTGATTGTATTTACAAACATATTGTTAAAATCGGTTCTACATTAAGATTTTATAAAAAACAAAGAAGCACTCAGGCATGTGGATACCAGAAAAAAACAATAAAATCACAGAAGTTTTATCAAATGTGTATGTGGGGGGTTCAACAACCCTGTGAAGATCATGTGGAAAGTACTTGCTTCCACTTTGCAAATAGGTAATCGAAGGCTCAAAGACAGTGAGTCATTAGTTTAAAGTCTCAGTTGTGGTAAGCAGTCTTTGTGTGTTACCTAACCATGGATGTTTGCATTTTAAATATTTGCCTTTCAAGTCTTAGCTAGAGAAAAACTCTATTCAAAATTGATCCTGTAGTGATTGAATTTGGACCTTGGTAACTTATGAGCAGGAAAGAAAATTTCCCAATACCCTAATATATAATTGAAGATGAGCCCAGTACTGTTCAAATATTTTTGATTATAGAATTCCTAAAATTATTTTTAGACACTGTATACCTCTTAACATATTTTCAGTTATATTTCTATTTTTATTATAGTTTTAAATAACAGCAAAATACATCACTTTTGATATTTTAATTTAAGTCTTAATTATTTTGCAATTTTACTGTAAAATGTTAAATATGATAGAGGTAAGTATACTAGTAATACCTACTTAAAAATACAGCAAGAAGTTCTTTTTGTTAATGGTCAGAAATTTAACATTTTTTTCTCCTTTACTTAAATTTCCATATTAGTTACCCCAGAGAAATTTATGCCAAGATTTTTATGCTTCAAAATATTTTATGGATTGTTTTTATTGACGGGTATATATGTTAATTTAAATATAATACAACCATAAATTTGTAGATATTAAATATTTTCTGATTGAGTTATTGTCAAAAGTACTAACACATAATTGATCAAAACAAAATAAATATATTACAAATTATGATTCACATGTATTAGACATAAAATTTAAATACTTTTGAAGTATGCCTTTAATGAGAATGATAAGCTGTTTTTACCCCTTTTGTGAATTTGTGTATTCATGGATGGATATCCCTTATTGCAAGAATTAAACAAAATCTAACATTGATTCTGCCCTTGTGTTTTGTTTAGCTTTAAGTGTTAAAAATAATTGTCCACTCAAAAAATTAGTAAATGGCAGGTAAATATAAACATGTCATTGATACCACTTCTTGAACCTCCTTTCCTCTATTATCAGCCCTAAGTCACCTACTCTTGTGTTAGGAATAAATGTCCTAACCACTTCTCAGTAGTGCTTCTTTTTAGTTTTTCCTTCAGTTTTGTTGAAACAAACATTTCATCACCACTTGATCTGCAAAAGTATTTTCTATCACCAGAGAGCTTTAGTTTCTTAAAATCAACACCAGTATTTCAAACTGCTCCTTTATTTTGTACCCTAGAGATTTTTATAGTCTAGAAGCATGCTCCATGACAATATCTGGTTGAGGGGCAGGTTGATTTTTATTTTATGAAACAAGAAGATAGAGAATTAAGAAAGAGAAAGCAGGAAAGGATAAACAGCATAATCCTAACAGAGCCACAGGGACAGGAGGATCTAAAAAGGTACTTGTTTACAAAAGTATTAATTTCTGATTCCCCTTAGAAAGGCTTTGCATGTCACCAAAGAATTTAGAGTTGCAGAGATGCAGAGAGCTTGAGGAAAAGGTTAGGACTAAGTGAAGAATAAACAAGCTAGGTTTACAAAATCTTAAGGAGGGAAAGAAGCTGAGAGGAAAAGGGGTATAGGTTCATAGGAAAGAGATGAATGATATAAAGGAGAATGTAAAGTAAAGAAAAGGGATGTAAACTTCAAACTTTGTGTGGAACTTACGGCTTTCCAGAGACTGAGGCATGTGTGGGCAGGAAGACCAGGAGAAGGAGAACCAGACTTGGATGAAGTAGTTTGTTTTTCCCCATGCTGCAGGGAGAAAGAACCGGAGGAAACCACACTGTCTTATACTCCACTCCTTGCAACCATCTAGTCCCAAACACTCCACAGGGAAGCAGGGCTTTATACTGCTCTCTGTGCAAACAGGAAGTTCCACCCACACAAGTTCTCTAAACAAAGTGTTTAGAGAACAGTTTCTGAAAGGATCATTGATGGATTCTTTACTGTCAAGGTTAATTCCCAGCTGGCAACAGAGAATTCCAGGAGGGGTAAGCCCATATTCTGCTAGTGCTCACTTTCTCAGGGTTTTACAGGAAAGCAGCTAATCAGCTTTTCAATCCACTTTCCTCGCCCCTCCTCCCCAGCCCTCTTGCAGTGGCTTTCATGGATCCTCACATCTCTTGTGTGAATAGTTAAAAGGGAGGCTGCAGTGTAAGCAGCCGTGGCAGGCTCAAAATAGGTGTTTCACAGCAAGTTAGTGTGCCTGCAAGTGCCCTAGCAGATATGCCTGCCTTAAATGTTGAAGCTGTTTCAGTGTTCAGTAATCCTCTATGGAATGATACTGGATCGTACTAGTAGGTTTTGTTCTTAGATTAAATGATGAGCTGTAGATGAAGCATCAGGGCCTGGAAGAATGAAAAATAAAAATAGTTTTCTGTTTTAAGAAAGTGAAACAGTAAAAGGAGAAGTTAACAAAACCTCAAAAACAATTTTGATTACTGTGCCTAACAAAGATCCCAATTGTCTTTCCCATCTACTCTACAGACAAATATCCTAAGAAATATCCTTTTGCCTTCTATATATGACTTTCTTCTCAGTCTTTAATTTATCTGACTAATTTTATTAATTCATTCATCCATCAATTCATTTATGCAGCTATTTGGTTATTTTGTAATTATTTATTGATCCTATAAGGGCCAGACACCATGCAAGAGTTTAGAAAGAGAATGACCAATAATTAGAAGCAGGTATGCACTGAAAGGTCTTACATTTTTTATAGGGGTGAAAACAGGCAAAAATTGTAAGTGATACAAATGGTAACCGAACATTTTTTTCAGATTTCTGAATTTTTATAAATTGTCATATTACTGTTGTACTGGGGTTACATTGTGACATTTACAAAAGTTTTTACAATATATCATAGTTGCATTCACCCCCTCTATCATTGTCCTTTATCCCTCCTCCCCCATTCCTGGATAGTTTCAACAGGTCTCATTTTTCCATTTTCATACATGAGTACATAATATTTCTGCCACATTCCCTCCTACACCTTTTCCTTGTATCCTCCCCCACCCCCGCCACTGGTACCAACCTCAAGACAGGACCTGTTTTACCTTCCTGTTCTCTGCTTTTGAAAAAGACATTTTTGTTTGTTCAAGATAGCTATACAGGGTATTTCATTGTGACATTTCCATGTATGTATGTATTATAATCCAAATTGGTTCATCCCCTCTAATTTTCTCCTTTCTACCTTAGTCCCCTTCTCATGGTGATTTCAACAGGTTTAAAAATTCTATATTCATTCTTGTATAGAAAGTACATCAGCCATATTCACATTCTTAACTTCCTTCTCCCATTAGTGACCTCCCCTTAGCACAACCTGTTTTTCATAATATTGCTTGTATTTGTATTGGGTCTATATTCCACATATGACTGGAAACATGCAGCCTTTGGTCTTTTGAACCTGGCAAACTTCATTTTTATTGAAGCAGTTCAGAATGCTCTAAGAGTAATTAAGGGCATGCACAGGCCAGATTTGGGGTCTTGGAAAGGAAATTTAGGAGAAAGGGAATATAAGTAAAGCTCTAAAGTCTGAGTGGGAAAGGGAGGGGGGGAGGAGAGAGAGAGAGAGAAGGAGGGAGGGAGAGAGAGAGGAGGAGACTGAGGGAATATTACAGCTTGGGAAATGCCACATGCAAAGGCTCTTAGCACTTTCAGTACAATGGAAACTATTTGTTATGAAGGAAATTCCTGAATACTTAGAAGTGTGGTGAAGAAAGGTGGCTTCAAATCAGAAAAGGACTTGTTGGCAACATTAAGATCAGTGGTTTCCTGAAGAGATAGCTCTTGCTAAGATTTGGAAAATGAACTGGAAGGAGTCCAGGAGGCAGTAAGTTCAGGCAGGAGTTGTTGCCAAACCAGGGTATTCATGAAGGGACTGGAAAGAGGTTGCAGATTTATATCATATTTAAGAGGTGAAATTAAAAGGAATGAAAAAAAAATGTGCCTTTTAAATTTTCCATCTGATTCCTGAGGGATTATGTTGCCTTTAACTGAGGGAGTCAAGCAGGAAACATCTGTAGCAGCAGCAGGACTAGCAGATGGGCTGGGGCTGGAGAAGGTAGAGCATCCTTCAGAGAGTGCTTGTGAAATAGATAGCTATCAGTATTCATAGGGAGTATAACATGTACCATAACACAGAAGTCACAGGCTAACAAAGGCAAAACAACAAGCAAGACAAGACTTTAGTCCTTGGATCATCAAAAGGCCTGAGCTTTGATAGGAGAGAAATCTTTCTCTGGGTTAAACTTTTGTATTTTGAGATCACCTCTGTCCACAGTGAGTGTCCTAAAAGCTACATTGTGAAAACATGATTGCAGTGATATACTGTGAACAGCCTGTTGAAAAAGAGCAAGGTTTCTTACTGTGAGTTAGTTAAAGCAATCTGGATATAGCTGTGTAACAAGATCTGGCTTAATACACGGACTAGAGATTTATCAGGTTTTGGGGAGAGCTGGTGGCATGGAAAAGAATGAAAATAATCACCAGATGCTGATGAAAAGAGGAAAGAGCCCAAGACAGAGGCACAAGGAACACTCTTGTCTAGGTGATGGGCAGAGTTGCTCACATGGAGAAGAAGGGCCATTCAGACAGGGTGAAACAGTCAGGAGCATGTGTGTGTGTGTGTGTGTGTGGGTGTGTGTTGGAGGAGGAGGAATCGCTGAGGCCCAAGGAAAGGACAGTTTTAACAAGAGAATAATCATTACAAGATTTTTACCAGGTCAGATTGACGTTATGCCAAGACATCAATATTAATAGCCCACAAAATAAAAGTTACAAATTATTGTCTGATTTCATAATATATTGACTCAAGATATAACAGAGTTTAAATTTATAAGAAGCAAAAACAACTGAAAACTCATTTTCAAGATTAACTACTTAAAATAGAGGGGATTGCTATTAAAGCATTCATTTGATGCTTCATCATAAATTGCAAAAATGATTTACAGAGGCTGTTATTGCTAAATTCCTGGCTATTTTGTCCAATGCCAGTGTGAAATGTGCTGGATTTAGGGACAAGAAAATACAGCTATTTCAGTGTCTGCATAAGGCAAAAGCTTGATTTCGGCTTGTTAAGGAGGGAGGGAACTGTGAGAAGCTGGAGCTAGCTTTGTAGTATTTGTTTGCCGAGGAGAAAAATAACAGGGCAGAGTGTGTCAGAAATGCAAAGTGAAAGGAAGGTGGTTTTAAGGGGAAAGAGACTCTTGAATAAGTTTAAATGAAATGTTGCTTCTACAAATGTCAAGTGGGAGGAGCCAACAGAAAGGAGGAGGGTGAACTGTGTGGAGTGAGAAGGGATAATCCCAGAGGGAGGATCAGAGGATGCAATGGACAGATATATTATGAACACGTAGATAATGGAGTATTATTCAGTGATGAAGAAGAGTGTAGTCCCATATTTTCAGCAAAGTGGATGGGTGGAACAAGAGGACATTAAAAATAAAGCCAGACTCAGAAAGACACGTACTACAGTTTCTCTCTTATATGTGGAAACTAAAAAAAGTCAGCCGGGTGCTGGTGATTTATGCCTATAATCCTAGCTACACAGAGGGCAGAGATCACAAGGATCGAGGTTCGAAGCTAGCCCAGGCAAATAGTCCATGAGTCCCTATCTTGGAAAAAACCCATTACACACACACACACAAAATGACTGGTGGAGTGGCTCAAGGTGTAGGCCCTGAGTTCAAGCCCCAGTCATGCCAAAAAAAAAAAAGTCAATCTAAAAGTAAAATAGTGATTACTGAAGATTGGGAAGAGTGTGGGAGGGTATGGGTGGAAAAACGAAGGTTCGATTTGATCAGTGAATGCTGTATGTGTATATGGAAATATCCACTTGGCCCCGTTAACATGCACATTCATGTGTGCTAATAAAAACAAAGAATGTGTGTGCAGAAGTTGTCTTTGGGAGGAGGGACTCCACTTTTATTAAAATTTCACTTCAGTAAGGCTTCAGAAGAGAAAAATGACTGGACCACCCAGTTGCCTGAACACCTGAGTCCTAGTTTTAACTAAGCCGTGTGATCTTGGATAACTCGGTTAATTACTGTAAACTTCTGCTTCCTTACTAATAAATGTGCAAGTTATAATATCTGTTGTGTCAGCTTTGTGGGAGTAGCTTGAACAAGATGCTAGAGGTAACAGAGCTTTAAAATTGTTCACCTGACTATACCCTAATGGTTGAGAAAGAGGTCTATCTCCTCTCTGCTCTGAAAAGGAGCAGCCAACAATATTTCCAGGAAAAAACTGAGTTGGGTTACCCTAGTAAGGAAGTTCTTAACTGAAAAGGGAACACAAAAAGCAGATACATTCTGTAAACTTTTAAGAACTTAACAAATATTTACTGCTACAAAGTCCAGGCAAAGAGAAAAGAAAGTGAGGGAATAAGAAAGGGAGTTTCATGGAAAAGAAGGCAGGGGAGCAAAATACTGGGAAACACATGACATTAAGAACAAAGGAGGAAGCTTTGGGAATTGAGAAAAATTAGGATTAGGAGGTAGATGGGGCTTCGTAAAAATAGATAAAACAATATCTTCCCCTCCTAGTGCAATAGTGCTTCTGTAATTGTACTAACTGAACACCTCGTTCATGCTGCCTGATGAAAGAGAACAGTTGAAGGACAGGTATTTCCTGTCAGTGATGACAGTGAAGGACATTTTGGCTGGTTACATATTAATCACCTTCGAGAGCAGAGAGTTCAGATGATGATGTAACCATTCTTGCCCTATCAGGAACTGCGCTGGCTTCTTTGTGTAAGTGTCTTGGACAAAGCCTGGATTAGGAAGTGAGGGTG